TTCCCAAATTGGAACTGCAGCGCATATTGCAGACACTGTCAGTCTGATTGCCCTTCCCCCGTTGTAGGTACGCTGTCGGATATGGCAAGGCTCTCGGCACGTCAGTAGTTCGCATCTCTGCAGACCTACCAGCACAGCAACTGGCCAATGAAGGCCTCTCGCCAGATTGTGGCACTCTGGCTCACTCCATCGCGGCCTTTGACGCCAAATCAGGCCTTCTAGTCTTGGCCTCCAGCAATCACACTCACGTGCCGGGCTTCGCTGTGTGTCAGCTGCACGCCCAGCAAATTACCGCTGTGGTGAAAGACGGCCAGGCGCCGGCCACTTCCATCTCTCGCCTCGCATGGCTGAAGAACCACCGTGAGTATTTGTTGTGATTGCCTTGTTGCCTCTGAGCGGTCAAATTCTTGATGCAAGCCATGCGACTGGGCAAAAGCCGGTGGTAGTTGGCACGGATTGGGCTAAGGAAGAAGCCTGAGGATGTTAGGAATGTTTCCATGCACACGGTGAGGCAGCGCGCAGAGAAAGGCGCCTGCGTGAGCTGCCACGTCGTGGCTATCGACCTGACGTCGTCAAATCTGATTGGGTGATGCCTCCAACACTTTCTACTTAAGCGGATCAATAACAATACGCAGGGTTTCAGTGAGTGACTCGTTCTTTGTTAATACAGCTCTCCTCGTGGTTGATTGCCTTCTCCTCTCTCCTCCTGGCCTTGGAAGCAAAGCAAGTTCGAAAAGCCCTCAGCTGGTGTTACTTGCCAGTACCGGGCATGGGTCATAACAGAGAAGGAAAAGTAGACGCGATCGCTGAGCCATCCACTTTCTTCGCATGACGTTTCGGATTCCCCCTCGAAGGCATCTTCAGAAACGGGTAGTTCGAACACAAGGATTCGCACTATTTGTAGGGTGCAATCGCTAGGCTACTGCATACGTATGCTAATTAACGGTTCCGCCTTCATCGAGAATGATTGCTCTGTGGTACAGGAATTGATTGATGGCCGGCATGCTGGTCTTTGTCTGCTGAACTTTCATTGGCGTGATGATTTTTCAGTCATCTGGCTCATCAGCACTAGCGTTGGAAAATACGCTCGCCTGCGCCCTCCTACAATGTCTGACTGCTTTGGCCAAACCAAGTCCCAGCAGTGCTGGATTGCGATATTTTGTTGTCATCAAGGCGTCTACTGCATGGCATTTTGAGTGCGGATGAGAGGTGAGTTTTCGAGCGTTTACAAACGGCAACGTGGTCAGACCCGTTGGCATTACCTATCTTGGCACCACGCAGCGATCTGCTAGCCACGAACCCAGCTACAGAACCTTGAACTGACTAAAACCTAGTCAATCTTACTGGCCGTATGACCGTTATTTGCGTACCAGGTTAGCAGACGTTTTTTTTGCGGTGCTGGAAGCACGTGTTCGTAACAAGCAGTGGGTTGTGATAAGCAACGTTCAGCAATCTTTCACCACTGTTACACCATGAACCAAGCTCAAAACAGCCAATAAGATGCCAGGGTCACCGGGTCCACTCCGGCCATTCCAGTCTCCGGCAACAGTCGGCGGATCGGGGCACAAGGGGGTTTGCAGCTGCGAGTAAAACGCCTCCCTAGCGCAATGTTCGGCAGCGGACGCTGAGGCGTACAGGGAGACGATAGAGATGTTTGTGAATTGACTCTTCTAGCGCACGTAAGTCATCCGTTCATTAATTGGTTCTCAGGCAAATAGTGCACAGTTCGTTTGTTGCAGAAGGGCATTTGCCACACCATGTCTGCTGGAGGAGTCATGTGAGTCACCGTGGTATAAGATGAAGTAAAAGTTAGCTCCAGGAATCGTTATCTCCTGAGCGCCTGAGTCACGAAGTCGGACTCCGGACAGGTAGCAGACGTCTGCGTTGTACTGATAAAGGCTGCGTGTCGTCAGACTTTGGGTACCAGGGGCTAGGAACGTTCGCACATTCCAGCATAAAATACCGGTGGTCTGATTCCGATTGCGTAGTAATCCAGCTCGCATACTGTTCGTCCACACTACTTGCGGAACGCGTCGGTTCCCGTGGACGCCGTAGCATGAATCGTAGCATAGTTATGGGAGTCAGTTTTTCATGAGGTGTCTTGGGAATTGTTAGTACGGGCGGGTCCCAACAGCCGCTGGGGTTGTTGCTTTGAGGTTGTCTTCTCTAGCGCTTTGGCTCAATAGCCTAAAAGCAAGACAACAGTGGCAAGTGAAGTTATTTAATGTTCACGGTTCACGCTTGCCATGTCGCAGTGCCGTCGTCAGGCTTTGCGGCACTTTATAGGCTTTTGGCTTGCTAGATCTAAGCCCATCGCACCCTGGTAGCACTGTCGTTGCTGGTCCGCGCTTGCTTATTTCGCAGCTAACTTTAACTGAAGGCCGTTCCACTATCCGCTATCTGTGGCCGCGCTGGGTAGGTGACAACTAAGTTAACGACCATTTAGGTCCAGTGCATATGCACTCCAGTCCGTTTTGGAATTCGTTACGGGCTATCCCATTGACACTAACCTCGACAGGGCGGCGATAGAGAGGGGGGCTACAGAATCAGCTGTCGCCCTCCCCCCCCAAACTGTTTTGTAATGTAACTGTTCTGATGATAGGCCTTCGTAAAAGTTCTGTTACTCACTCATAGCCGAATGGTTGCTGAAGTCGCCTCTTCTCTGCATTGTCAAAAAGGGCCCGGCGTCATGGCCTCCCCTTGTATCGATATATTTGGAGGTTGGATAAAGTACAATCCCCTTTCATCTATCGATTTGTTTGAACCATGTGTGGGCTAGTGAGTTGAACCGCAGTCGTGGGGATTGTGGCGCAGGACAGACTGCTCACAGCTTGAACAACCGTCTTTTCTGTCCCTTTTAGGTCTTCTTTCCCAAGTAATGCCTCGTTTCCTTGAACCGCTGGCTCCCCCGCGAGTTCTCACTTGTCGCTTCATGGCG